AAGTGAAAATTACGTCCATGACGGTGACGCTGTTACACTCTCCAGCACCCAATGGGGCGTCTACGTATTCATGTCTATGATTTGCACAGCTCACTCTCCTACAGACGAGTGTTGGGTCTGACGTGTTTTTATTTCTTAAAAACTCACCTCACACTGAGAGAGAAGGGAGGGAGAGGCGGCACGATGCTCCGTTCAGCGTCTCTACAGACTCCACAGTAGCAGCGACAGTCAGCTGATTTGATCCACTCTGAAAGACGTTGATCAGAATTTGCAGATCACATTTTTTAAACGGAGATCCGGTGCTTGCAGCCATCATGCTGTGTCCGTGCGGAAACTCGCCGAGGAACTTTTATCCGCTGCACTTAAATGTGTGAAAAACTAATTGTTTAACGGAAAAAATAAACCAAAACGGTACGCAAGTGGACCGAACCGAACTGCCCGAACCGAAACGGTAAAAAAAAAAACATGAACCATTCCACTCCTAATTGTGAGTAATACTCTTCCCCCAATGCAGACTTGGGGGAAGTGCAGATCAAGGGGGAAAATGGTGCATGGTCAACTTCAGCTCTTTAGAATCAGGACACCCTACACAGTCGCACCTCTGGTCGAGAATACGCACAGTTGAGGTGTGCAAGGGTGGAAGTGTGAGTATTGGGACTGGGCCTAAGTGCTATACAAACACAGGCACGTGACCGTTTATAATTAGTGAGCTTCCTTTTTCTGTGGTGCTGGTAAAAGTCTCAAACAGACTGTAATGTATCAGCTCAGCTCTGTCCTGATCAACATGTTCTTGATTTGATAACTTTGTGTGCAGGATTAGAGTTTTACAAATGCAAATATACTTTTGACATTGCTGATGATTTTTCCAGTGACACGCCCATGTTTACAAACAGACTTGACAATAACAGTCAGTTACATAAGAGGAGAATGTCATCCACACAGAAGATAAGACTTGAACTGGGGAGCAGCTGAGGACAAACGCTAATTATTCAGGAAGATGCAACTTATAACAAAGAACATGTAGCAACAAGTGAATGTGACACAAGCTTTTGTTGCATAGGAAATTGATTTTTGATCCTGCACCTCTTCCAGGTACATTGAAAAAAGGATTATGTCCTGCAGACTGAGATAAATGACATGACTCCTTTGTTCTTCCTGAAAATCATCTGTGGAAAGCTGCAGACTTCACAAATTTTAGTTAGCACCGGAGTCAGTGCAAAGATCGCTGCAGCAGATTTTTTGTTTAACATGTACTCTTCAATCTGAAGCAACAATTCTGTATTATGATAAACATGCATTTGAAATAAAAGCTGAACTTGTGATCATTTGTGCTCTTGTGACTAAACAGTAATCCACTAATAGTTTTTAGCTCATCTAAAGCTCCTGTGTGTTGCTTCCTAGGCTGTGACAGAGCTCCAGTGCACACTGCAGGGTCAGGCCCACACCAAATAACATTTGCCCTTCCATTAATGTCACAGCCCTTAATTCAACATATCATCACATTAAAAACCTTAGTCTAAGGGTAATTGAAATGGCCCATGGGGATTTCCTGTCATGTGCAAGGGCCAACCTCTTCTCTAGCATACATCCATCATTGTGGAGTTAGGCCCCAGGGTGATGTTGGAGCAGTTAAGGCTTGCAGAAAGATTGCCATACATTCTCACTTAAAGGTCTCTAAACTGTGGCCTCATGGGACCTGACTGCTGCCACAAACACCAGGATGAAAAGCGCTCTCAGTCGCATGTCCAGCGCATGTTAATTTAACGGCCTGATGGCAGCAGGCATGAGCCTGAGTCAACACCCAACACACCCGTGTTCCACTAATAGATGGACTTCAATAGGAATGTGATCAGAAACAGAAACCTGTCAGATGTAGAGTTCACAGGCTTGATTACGCAGCTGTCTCGCGATGCATACGGCAACAGATAAAATTAAACACTCACGATTACTCGCCGCTTTGAAAACACCCTGGATCCTGATCAGTGGGATCCCTGTTTCAAGTTTGACCTCAAACAACATAAATTTCAGAAATCATATAAAAGTCTTACAACAGATCTAGATTCCTGCTAATAAAAGCTGATCATTTGGCGAGGCGGCGGCAAAGACAACAGGCGATTGAAACATCTCTGCAGAGCGTCTTTTTGGTTTTTGTTAGGAAGGGTGTTCTTTAGGAGGTACATCAAAGCCTTTGTAACAATTTCTAACAAACACTTCAAATGCATTCTGTAAAATGTTAGGGGCTTCGAAATCTAACTGATCATTTCTCAAAGATCATATAACTCAAAGTGTTCAGACAGAACAGATAAATGGATCAATTCCTGCTCAAATATGCAGATTTGAGTATATTCATATGGCTCTTTCATGAAAGCTACCAGCTGCCCTTGCCAATGAGCGGAGGGCATTAAGGCTCAGGCTGGTGGATCTCTTATGACGAGGGTCTGGAAGAGGGATTAGAAGCAATACCAAAGTTGTGGTCATTCCCTTAAAAGGAAGCGATGCATCTCAAAAGCTCGGAGGCTTTGAGGGATCTTCAAAGCTCTGCTCACCGAACATAACCTACTATAACCCCCCACCCCGAAAATGATGAAAGTGGGAGTTTTCAAAAGATTTGATTTCTCTATATATTATTTATTTATGCTTCCATCGCGTCAGATCAAAACAAATGCTGCATGCAAAGTGGAGGAGAAAGTGTTTGCTGCGTATTTGTTTATTTTAAGTTTTCTGGTCACTTCCTGGTATGATCAGGTGAGATAAAAGGTAAAAAAATAAAATAAAATAAAAACAGGTTCATCGGATTTTTGAAAATATCTGTTATGTAAGGCATGGATAATAGATGACAAAAGAATTTAAAAAAAGGTTTCTTTTTAAGAACCAGCCACGGGCTAAATTGCAAAGCATCAAAAGACAAGCATGCATTACACATGAGGGTAGGCAGGGCCTTTCTTTCCATCCTGCTGTATGTTGGCTATTCAGCAGTACTCCAGTCAGCTGCACCAATTTTTGGCAAATTCTTTAACAATAGTGAGGGAGCTGAGCATTTTAGGGGCTTGGGCTTAAGTTGACAGAGGGAGCGACCATTGAGAAGAGTAAAAAGGAGCCTAGCTTAATAAGCCCCGGTGTAGGCTGGTCCACGCAGGGGGTTGGCACCACAGAAATCAGAAAACTGCTGTGCAGATGAGCATGAGAGAAATTTAAAGAACTGCTTAAATCATAATAAGAGCACCAACCAGGGACTAGATTTCTCTAAACACGTATATAAAATTGTGATTGCATTGTTTAACATGACAGCACTGCAGCTGATGCTGCTTTATGAGCTCATCAAAGCTGGTAAATAAACACAAACAGATCACCTCACAGAAAAGCATAACGTGAGCTGCACATTTCATGGTTTTATTTTATTTAATCAGGTATTTGACTTTGTTATAGGTGGCCTCCTTATGTTTTCTTTGTCTTGCTGGTGTCTGAGATGTCAAATCTCCGTGTGACCGACCATTCGTCAACTGGAAAAGGAAATTAGAGACAGAAACTCGCACGAGTGTAGCTGCATCTATGTGATGTTTTGAGAGGAGTGAGGAAGTGTAAGTAAACGAATGAGTTGAGGATTCGTGCTTGTCTTAAGGGAGAATCCTGCAGAGGATTCCTACTTACCTTGGAATCACACTGGCAGAGATTAGGGGGCAATCACGAAGGAGTCACAGAGGGTGAAGGTAGCCAGAAGCTGCAGGGATAAAGGTTGATGAAAAAGAAGAACAAGAAGATCTGGCTAAAAAAAATAGAAGAAGGGAGGGGCTGCGGTAGTGTTGATAAAAAGAAGAAAAAACACCTTTGAGTTGACCTGGGGAGGTTCAGGACAAAGCTAGAGATCCAATTAAAATGGCACTGGGTCATTTGGAGTCGGTGCTGACACAGCCTTTTCAGATAACTGTCTGTAAGGTGTGGGAGCAGCGCACTGTAAGTACGTGAGGTGTCATATTCGGTTATGATGATGCATAAAAGCAAAAAGCTGGTGTGAAAAAGCCACTCACCCCCTCTGGTACTCGCCTGAAACCAACTGTGGCCCAACCGCAGCACAGAAGGTTTCCAAAACTATCAAGCTGATGTGTACACCAGCCAAAATGGCGCCTGCACTTGTTGCTAGGCAGAGCGCAAAAGTAAAGATGGTGGCAAACAAGTGGCAAACTGTATGTGGAGGTCTAATCAGTTGTGATTGCTGGGGAGGAAGGGTTGGGTAAGATTCAGTGTTTATGGAACCACAGGTTGGTCAGAGTACAGAGCGACGGCTTTGATGTTTAACGTTTCAGTTTGTGTCCTCGCGTGGCACAAGAACTACGTTGTTTTCAGCCCAAAATATCCAAGATCAGCTCAAATACCAGTAAATCCACTGGGGGGGGAGGGGGGGGGTAAAAATGAGAGCTTTTGGGGTTTAAATTAAAAGTTAAATTTCAGTGCTGAAAGATTTCTTTTTTAAAAAGTAAAGCAACACCTTTGATGCAAGCTATTGATTAGAATGCAGTGAGAGTGACCTTATAAATTGCAGTTATCACACCATTAAAGTATACTGATCCAAGCTATCCAAGTTTGCCCCAGTTTGCTTGAGAAAAAGAGCCCTTCACAGTTTAAAAATTTCAAACCATCCACTTAAAAGATCTCAGGCCATATCATAGCAGTTTTAAAAACCTCATTTCCATTAATATTACTTTTAATCACATTATGTAGCACTCACAAAAGTGTCAAGTCACCACTCAAAAGGCAGATCTGAAATGCTCTAACTGATGGTGTTGAAACTGAGATTCAGTGCCATGTGGATGGCTCCCTTTAAAAAAAAAGGAAGGAAACCCCTGGTGGAAAGTAAAAACTAAAAATAAACCTCAAGAAATTTTGCAAGGGGGGGGGGGGGGGGGGTGCAAAACACATCATCAAAAATATCTGACTTCCCAAAAGATGCATCCCTGTGAGAACGACGGGCAACGTACAGCACAGAGAATGCATAAACAAGTTAATCATAGACAGCATCTCCAGATACTGTAAACACGTGAGTGTGATTTATTTCTGTTGAGCTCAGAAATGTAATAAGCAGAGCAAAATTATGTCATTTTCTTTATACACTTTATTCACAAAAAGCATCTGGGTTTTTGTTGCTTGGGTTGTAAATAATATTTAAATAAAAGCACCAGAGGAACAACAATGTTGCACTGGATGGTTCATCCCAATCATTTACAACTGCAAATTTTAAATAAACTCATTTAAAACCTTGGAAATTATCCATCTGCTTTCACATCAAAATAAATAAAAATGTTGCATTAAAGAATTTTACAGGTTAAAAAGTGTTTTCAACAAAAAAAACTTGTTCTAATTAGATTATCTTTAAAGATCTGGGTTATTTGTGATTATTTTTAGGTAGAGGTGTAATTTTACAGCAACCTAATAACAAACATATCTCAATGAGAACAAGTCTGCACCAGGAATTCATGCTCTGCAGGAAGAAAAGAAGGAGTTTTTTTGTCTCATTCCTGTAAAATAATGAGGTGTTTGCTGATGTTTGAACTCCAGGAGGAACAAAATCTATGCAAACAATTGTGTCAGTGAAACCAAGAGAGTCAAACATTTTACTATTAATGGATTCAAAGAAGGGGAAACTCTGTTTTAAAGCAGCTTACACGATAAACACGTGTTCAATAAGAAGGTGAGCAGGAAAAAACACAATTAAATCAGGCATAAAGGGAAGAGTCTTCATCGTTTCAGAGTGACCTATTTCTTTTTCTTTTGGTAAAACAGTAATGTACATACATACATACTGTATGTATATATATATATATATATATATATATATATATATATATATATATATATATATATATATAGTGGAATTAGGACACATTTCAAGAGGATAATTTGTTTTTTTTTCGCTGATTTAAGTTCTCACGTTGCACACGTGATTTGACTGAAATTCCTTTAATAAAGAATATAGAAGATCTCTGTGGGACATGTTTCCAGGCGGTGGGTCCACGAGCTGCACGAGATTTGCAAACTTAACGAATAAAATCTTTTTTTTTTTTAAGAAATAAAAAAGAAGTGTGAATCGAAGAAACTGAGTTGGTGATGTCACGCACGTCTGATCAAAGGGAAGACAATTTAATAAAATATAAGGTACATAATTAATTGTACAGTACAGCGGAGCTGTATTCTAATGAAACGTTTTACCATTAACACGAACACTGTGGTTTTACTGCACAGAAATGTGAAATAAACATATATTACACATTACAAGGATGTTTAATGAAAAAAGAGGGGCGAAGATTTGAATTTAATCAAGGGAAGAAGGAAATAATAATAATGAGCCTGCCGGTTCTTTAATTACAGTCAAATCCTGCTCCGGGCCCACCACGCAGGCTTGTTAGATCTCCAAAATGTGAGTGGAGAGAAAGATCTTCCAGATAATTATTCATCTTGCGACATACATAAGTCATGAATATATTTTCTATTCATCTCGACATACACTACACCTAGTTTACATTGAACAAAGACCCCTACAGTGAGGGCTACATTCTGCAAGACTTATTTATTTATCCACCCATTTTTTCATTTCCCATTAAAAGAACACGCTGATAAGGATTTGGATTTAAAATATGCTTTAAACAATCTTTCATAGACAGGCTGCTTTAAATCGTTATGCAACACGGTGAGAAGCTGCTTTAAAGGTTAGCAGAACCAAACAGGCCTCACAATAACAACAACAACAAATGCCACGCTGCGCAATTTGCGCAGCGCAAAGCAAGATTTTGGCTGAATCACAACCTACAACATTCACAGGAAATTAGAAAGAAACACGGGAACATCTGTAGAACATCTGGGTCTCAGGCTGGATGTTTCTGTCCCACCAAGCAGGACCTCACATTGTGGGGATGTTGCACTGCTTTGGTGGGAAGGAGTCCACGCCGCTGTGGCACGTGTACCATCCGTTCACGATGCTTTTCTGAAAGGGAGAGGAGGGAGGGAAAGTCCGCGATGTCTGGCCAAAACTGTGCCCCGTTTGGCCGCAGTGGTACTGGGAGGACTGGGACCTGTAGCTGCCTCTCTGCAACAGCAAAGGGTCCAGGAGGGGCTGCGACCTGTGCGCGGAGTAGTCCAAGCTGCTGTCAAACGCGTGATGGAAACGTGACATCGGGGTCGAGTCGTCTCGACTCTCGGGGGACAGGGGGACATCCTGAGTGGAGGTGGGTGGATGCGGGGGACTGATCTGGGTCGCCCTGCCCTCCGCGGTCCGGTCATCTTCGTCACCGGGACGCGCTTCGCCACCTTTGGCGACGTGGGCCTTGGTGCAGTGGAGCTTCATGTGCTTTCGCAGAGAGCTCGGGTGGGTGTAGCACTTGTCGCAGCCTCTGACCTTGCACATGTAGGGTTTGTCACTGGAGTGCACGTGAGAGTGCTTCTTCCTGTCGCTGCTGTTCGCAAATCTCCGGCTGCAGCCCTCGAACTCACATTTAAAAGGTTTTTCACCTAAAAACAGAAATAACGACGAGTTACACAGGTGAATTCAGGCCCCGTGGCTCTAGTCCAGAATAAAATAATTCATAATTAACTTTTCTGTGGGTGACCCTAACACATATTTAAAAAGCAGAAATAAGGCTATAAACGTTTCAAGTTACACATTTTAGCAAATAAGATATTCTTAGATGTTGAATTTCACTTGGGACAAAAACATTTGAACTAAATCAGCAACCCTCTTAAACTCATCAACCCACAAACTTGTTTAAATTCAAGCTGGAACTCTTACGGTGCAAAACTGCTGGTTTTCTCCACAAGCTTTAAATAAAACCTTAACAGTCCTTGTTCATAACATCTTTGTTTGTTTTCATGTTTATATAAAAAAAACTCTAAACAAATACACACACACACACACACACACATATATATATATATATATATATATATATATATATATATATATATATATATATATATATATATACGTATATATGTGTGTATATATATATATATATATATATATATATATATATATATATATATATATATATATATATATATATATATATATATATATATATATATATATATATATATATGGGGGGTTGAATCTTAAAGGCACACCACGCATGTGCAGCTTTAAAAAGCTTAAAAATGTCATTAGGGGTCTCTGTTGAGTCTCTTCTTTCATTAGAGGAACAATTCACACCAGAAATAAAAGAGAGAATGAATAATATTTCCGTCCAGTCTTTGCTTTTCGTTTTTATGGTAGAGTAATTCTGATTTAAAGGCCAATTTTCACTGCAATTAAGCCACATCCAATCTCTACACATGACATTTGTGGAAAAAAGAATAAAATACATCTGCACGGTAAATTACTAAAATAGAATAAAGAAGGAAATAGTCTTGATTGCTGCTCATGTTGTTGCCAAGTTTCAAAGTTTAAAAATGCATTTTATGACATAATTGTACAATATTTCATCACACGAATCATTAAAAGGACGCAAATAAGTAAGGGGTGAAATGGCAGTGGGCTAAATAAAACTTCATTTGGGTTTTTTATAAAGTAAATAAACTGTTTATTATTATTATTATTATTATTATTATTATTATTATTATTATTATTATATTTTGTATATTTGTATGCTTTCACTGAAGTGCCAGAATCAATCCATGCTTCTAAGGCAGTTTCAGGGTTAGTTTATGGAAAGCGTCCTTCTGATGATGTGGGCACTTCCGAGAAGAACAATCTTCTGGATTTCTTGGACTGTTGGTTTTCCAGGAATCTGTTTTCTCTTCTCCAGACCCTTCTTGATGAGGCCAAGTGCGCCCACGACAACGGGTATTGCTGTTGTCTTCATCCCCCACGTTCATGTGACTTCTATTTCCAGGTCCTTGCACTTTGATAGCTTTTCAAGCTCCTTGGTGGTGACATTTTTTTCAGATGGAATGGTCATGTAAATTGTTATTATTATTATTATTATTATTATTATTATTATTATTATTATTGTTGTTGTTGTTGTTGTTGTTGTTGTTGTTGTTGTTGTTGTTGTTGTTGTTGTTAGTAGTAGTAGTAGTAGTAGTAGTAGTAGTAGTAGTAGTAGTAGTAGTAGTAGTAGTAGTAGAAGTATAAACTCATCATGACTCTATCAGGCTCTGACGTGCTCTGTTAGAGTTTTGGAGCTGCAGGGTGAAGAATCCCTGGGAGGCAGAGGGGGGGAGCGCGTAACGGCTACGTCACGACTCTCCGGTGTCCCGGGAATTATTTAATAATTTCAGTGAATGAAGTGAGGGAGGCACCCAAAGCTCCAGGCCTGCTGTCTGCATGCTTGCAGCTGTTTTACTTCTCATCTGTGACTCCTGCGTGGGGACTAGACACGGTTTATTCTCCTGCAGATCAATTATTACCACGGCCATGGCAAAAATCAGCACGAAATGAAATCCCTCACACGGAATGTATGCATATATAGGTCATACTATTGGTAATAATAGCAGCAATAATAACAATGATAATAATAATAATAATAATAATAATAATAATAATAATAATAATAATAATAATAACAATAATTAAAGTTTTTAAATTATTTTATTTTCATTAAAACATTTAAATATAATAATAATAATAATAATAATAATAATAATTATTATTATTATTATTATTATTATTATTATTATTATTATTATTATTATTATTATTATTATTATTATTATTGTGAACTGACCTGTGTGAGTCCTCTTGTGAATCTTTAGATTTTCTGATCTTGCAAAAACTTTCTCACAGCCGTGGAAGGGGCAGGGAAAAGGCTTCTCCCCTGTGTGGACTCTAACGTGGTTCACCAGCTTGTATTTGGCTTTGAAAGGCTTCCCGTCCCTCGCACAGTCCTCCCAGTGGCACACATACTCAGAATGCTCAGTTCCACCGACGTGCTCCACTGTCACATGGGTGACAAGTTCATACATGGTCCCGAAGGCTCTGGAGCAGGGCAGCTTCCCGGGCCCCTCTTTGCCGTCACTCCACCTGCACACCAGCTCGTGCTTGACCGCCTGCTTGGAGCACCTGAGGAAAGCGTCCGCTCCTCCGCGCTGAATTGCCATGTTCAGGGGCTTGTAGAGACCCAGGAACTGGGTGACGAGCTGCTGGCTGTTTCCCTTGGGGCTGATGGTTTGGCCATAAGTGTGAGTCCGGGCGAGGAGGTCGCTGGGCAGCCCCAGCATCATCTGGCCTGTGAGGTCTCGAGATGCGTCGGCGGAGGCGTGGGCCTGCTCCTGGTAACTTGTGAAAAAAGTATGGCTTCTGTTGTCTCTGCAGCCAGCAAAGTCACGATACCTTCCAATCCCGCCATGTTGGTTAGCTCTTGATGCCAGTTGATCAGTGACGGGTGGCATGCCGGCTCCAGAAAGATTGGCTCCAATGATGATGCCCCCAGGGCTGTGGTATCCAGAGTCTGAAAAACTGGGAACCGAGTGGTCAGCATAAGCACTGGACCTCGTCTCGGCATAGTCTCGCAAAGTGTGCGAGGGGCAGAGTTTTAAGGAACTGCCGGTGGGGTGTCCCATGTGCTCTCCTGCCAAAGGTGGCAGCACCACGCTGGGTTCAGTATTGCTCTCCCCGGGGTTGACGCAAGAGAGAGGGCAGCCACTAAACCTCGAGAGGCTTGTCATGTTTTGTTGTGAGTTTGGCTATGAGTTTGCAAAATCAAACCAATTCAGGATACACCTAGAAATGCTCTTCCCATTTCCCCTTGCTGGGCATCATCTGCATGTAAAATTCTTGGCCGGGAACATCGCAGAATAGGAACCAGACTGAATTTCGTTAGAGTTGGTGTGAGTCCCATACCGTTCACTTTGCCCTCTTGATTTGTGGCAATAACCGTGGTAGTAAAAATGCTTCGAAACAGGCCATGGTGCAATATAAAAGCACAGCAGGCAAACGTGCTTTTTAAAAAGGGAGCTTTGGGATTGGTTGGAATGCGCTGTGACTGACAGGCGCTGGGTTTGTTTTAAAAGGGACACGCAGAAGTTCACCGCACGACTCCGTTTTCAAATATCGCAGAGAAAACGCTTTGAAATGTGCCGCGATAGTACTCCTTAATATCACTGCCTCTGTAACTCAGGCTGCCTCCTCATTAGAGCCTCTGAAACGAGCGCACAGGTTTATGTTTAATACTAATATTTCCGTATAGAAATCAGTGGCTGGATTCAGACACAATCTGCAGCGTGTTTTTTATTCCTCTGCGGTCCTGCCAAAACCACTTCTCCTGCTTTGCAAGAACAATAGAGCCCGGTCCTGGTGTGTTCCGGCCAATTATGCTCAAGACTGGCTTTAGGAGAGAATGCAACACTTGAAAACGCAGAACGTTACAGGAAACGAATTAACTGACTTTTCAGTGGGAGAAAAAAATCTATTATTTGCATAATTTATCTGCACAGATAACTGAAGTTAAATAGTTTGTTTTTTAAGGCCAAACAGATTTAAAAGTCATCTCCCGAGTAAAAAAGTTAACTAACTAAGCAACAAGTAGGTTATTATTATTATTATTATTATTATTATTATTATTATTATTATTATTATTATTATTATTATTATTATTTAATACATTTCTTTCAGGCTAAATTTTCACAGCGGAGTCATCTGGGAGAACAGGCTGTACTATTTTATACCTTAGAGTCGAATGTAAACCATCTCTGTAAATAAAACTTCTCATTAAGTCCATAAATAAATTAATAATCTTCAAAAGTGCGCCGTGCATCCTGAAGGCTGGCACACATGTAAAAGGGTGTGTGTGTGGGGGGGGGGGACGTAAAATTTCAGTTGTGAAACAAACGTAACAGGCTGCACGGCTCCGCTGCTGTATACATATAAGACAAACTTTCTGACTTCGCTGCTGTGAGGACACGGAGCCGAATGGTGCGTAATTCTGCACATCAGCTCGCCTCTCTCTCTCTCTCTCTCTCTCTCTCTCTCTCTCTCTCTCTCTCTCTCTCTCTCTCTCTCTCTCTCTCTCTCTCTCTCTCTCTCTCTCTCTCTCTCTCTTCCCATGGCTCAGCCTCTGTCAGCGCACTCTCCTCCACTTCGTCCAGTTTTAGTCAGGTTCTTTCATCTGTTACTTTTTGTTTAAATCCACAGGACGAGGCTGTAGGCTCTGGGCTGCAGCTTATGTAGGTTTAGGGAGGAAAACCCTCTTACTTCTAAAAGCTGGCACTCTGAAGCAGAAATTGAACTTTTTTCCCTTCATAAATAAATTGAAACAATCTAATAGTTGCTGACATGCAAATAAAGGACCCATTTACCATTAAATGCAACAAACAGCAGCCAGGCACACAATTGGCCTGATTCCGTCATTGCTGATTTCAGCCAACCTTTAGCCTGATGCATTTCTGAAAATAATTGAGGACAGAAGGCCCAATAAACTGAAAAGTTCAGTTCACTCAGGAGTACTGGCAGGCCTGAGCATCAAGGTCCTCATCTGCAGCAAAATGGGGGTTGAAGAGGGGGGGGGGGGGGGGGTAAATCCACAGTTTTGATCCCATGAGGCTGTTTGGTTCAGCTCTGCAGAAACAGTCACAACAACTGGGCCTATCCTACACTGTACCACATTAAAATCTAAATGACTTTTTTTTAAAGTCCTAAAATAAATGTTAATGTTTAAACATCCTAAGTAGTCACAGCTTTTAACTTCATTAAGTCTCATTTAATGTGTGAATTAGTCCATTTGTCTAATGTTTGTTAAAAATTACAATAAAAATGAACAATACTCTGTAATTTTTTTTCCAAATCCGTAAAATAGTAATAAATAGGTCTAAAAATAATGTGTATAGTTTATATTTAATTACAATAAAAATAAATGATTGCATTAAGAGCCAGTCATTTGTCAGGCATGTTCATGTCCAGCTGAAATAGCTTCATTTAGAAAAAGAAACGACAGTTTGACATTTTAAATCTCTCCAGACCCTGCAGCTACACCAGTCTGGTCATTTATCTTGGCTGCTTAACAAGTCACACAATTTTTACTGACTGTTGAACACAAATGCATCACTCTCAGGGACAAAACATGTCAGCAAACATCTGCGAGGTCTTCCTCACAAGAAATTGTCCCAAAAATATATCAAAAACCGGAATGCAGAGATAAAAGCAACCACAAATCCAGTCTCCGTAAAGTATCCAGTCCCCAAAACTCCAAAATCCTTCACAAGATTAGACTAAAACATTGTGAAATTATGTACTTTGAAACCACAAAGTTAATGAAAGTGTTTATTTTACAAAAACAAAATTATCTAAACAACAGCAGCGAATCCACACTCATGATTCAAATTATATGCCACTTTATAACGAAAGTAAAAATCCTCAAAATTATATTCAAGTTTGTTAATATTCTAAAATACATCAAAATGATATTTAGGTTGTGTGCTTTCTGTTATTATACAAAAACATTTAAATGTTGTCCTCATTCAAAAGTGCGTTTTGCAGTAATAAATCAGTGTTTTGGGGTTTAAATGAGTGCCTGCATTAGTGAGCTGGGATCTTGTAATTGATGTGGGATGGCAGTGCACCTTGTCGCCATCACATTATGAAATTTAGATGAATTAACAGGTTTGGGATGAGTCCATTTGGGGACAGCTGCTCAAGTAAATCACAGCAAGAAGTCAATTAGCTCTCTCCATCAGCCATACGAAGGCAAATTCCAAGTGCAGTCGCTCAAGGCCCAACTGACCAAATAACCAAACGTAAATAAAAACTATTCACTCATACCGACCCATAAACGGCTCCAAGACTATCTTAGATTACGCTAAATCAGAATAAAGAAGACTTTTGTCGACAGGTGTAAACACACACAACTCAAAATTCTACGAAGCCGGCGCGATGATTTTAAAAGTAATTTTGAAATTAAAACAGTAAAAACTGTTCAAATGCATAAAAAAGCAGCATTAATTTAGCCATTATTAGCTGCTACACTTAAAACAAAAACCTGTTTAAGAAAAATAATCATACCGGTAAATATTTACTTTGTAAAAGTGAAATATTTTTTAAATCAACGAATGTGCAAAAGAGTTCGCTCGTCGATTTGTCTTAAATTTTCAAACAAAACAGCAAAATTTGAGGATATTTTACTGGACAATTCCTCAATTGTTAACCAGGAGCTGAACCTTTGTGCGCCGCAGATATTTTTTAAAAAGCAAAATGAGGAATGCATCAAATTTAACAACATCATCAAGCAAAATATTTCATTGTCTTATCTCTAATCGAGTAATGTTACACAAAGCGCTACATTCAGCTGTAGGTAACCAGACCAAAAACAACAAACCACACTGCTCTGCGTCTGTGCATGTGTTGTGCACCCAAATAAAAGTAAATAAAAAATAAAACACACAATCATTTACAATTCTATAAATACATTAAAACAATACTAAACTGTCACCTGGCTGCAGATGAAGGGAGATCTACATTTATACTTTGGTCTGGTCATTATTGAGTTAACTTCAGGTCCACACACTTGTCTATGGCACTAGTGGCCTGAGCCAGGCAAGCATAGTGTGGGCTGCAGGCCAGACAGCACAGAAGAAAAAAGCACATCTTGTCTGCCAGAAAAATCTGCAATAGGCACTTTATTATAGTAAAATACCCATCATGCATTGGCTGATTTTAAAATCAAATGATGAACCAAAGTAATGTTGCTGACTCTAACACACCTAGTTACAACAAGCAGATAAATGGGAGTTGTTTACCATATAAGGGTGGAGGTTATGTTCTGCTCTTTTCCAACAGCATGGGCCTATACAGTCAGGGAGGCACTCACACTAAAATATTCTGATATTTTAAGGTAACGCGCATGCGCTGTAGGAGGGAGATTATGTTATAACCAATGAGCGTTCCAAACGCCCTGTGAGGTAATCCCAGCAGAGATGACTTAAATAACCAAATTATGCAAACGGCAGTCCTGCAGAATAACCTGCTCCTGTGCATCACGTTGCATCCCTGCTCTTGTTCAACCTTTTAATTTGTTTATGTGTTGTAATTTTTCTTTTAATATACTAACCTCAACCAATGATATGCATGCAAAATCAATCATCCATTGCAATTAGAATTAAAGGAGGTAAACATTTAATTACAACTTTGTCAAATTTAATTAAACTAGCTCAACCCATCTGTCAAATAAACGTTTAAAATGTCTCAAGCTTACCAAGCTCTCAAAAAGTTGCATTGTCTGGTGGGTTTTTTCTAAATAGGGTAAATTTTATCTGAGGAAGAAGAAAAAAACAGAAGCACACCACCAACATGGGAAATAGAATTAAATTACTCACACTTGTAATGCTGTTTGTTTTTATTACAACATGAATAATAAAATGGGGGCGTTTGAAGTCCCCTTCCATATTTGAAGAGGTAATTTATCATTCCATGAGCGCCACTAGCAGAAGAGATCAGCAGTGCTTTTAAATTTAACACTAAAGCAACAGTTGCTTTACATTTGGCCTTGTTGATGACAGCTCCCCCCTTTTTCCACAGCAAGAGCTCAGAGCCCACGCCGTTGCTCTCTGGCTCAAAGGAACAAATGCTATATATAATAATAACGATAATAAACATTATTGAGTCAGATAAACCACGTCACCTAATCATCTCACAGTAGTAATGTGGCTGTAAATACACGGTACATTTATTTAAGTGGCGCGCGGTGCCTTCACGTTTCAACAAGCCTGTAAAATATGGAGGATGGAGGAAAACTTAACAGGCTGCATGTCACTTATAAAGTTCACAAAGGGCGCAATGAATCTGTGCGTGTGTGTGTGCGCGTGCGTGCGTGCGTGCGTGCGTGTGTGTGTGTGTGTGTGTGTGTGTGTGTGTGTGTGTGTGTGTGTGTGTGTGTGTGTGTGTGTGTGTGTGTGTGTGTGTGTGTGTGTTCACACGCGCATACTGAGAGGGGAAACGAGTGTGTGAGGGTGAAGGGGGAGTAAACTGTGGCAGGCTTCGTGAGACAGAGCGGGAGGGAGTGGCGCGCGCACACGCGCAACAAAACACACCCGCAAACACACACACACACACACACACACACACACACACACACACATACGTGAGCAGAGAGAGAAGGAAGATAAAGTTGTTGAGGTAAAAAAAAGAGCAAATTTTGAATGCAGGCTGGTGTTTTTTCTATTTTCAAGAGCGTTTCTGTTGCAACAACATATGAGCAACAGGCTTAAATACTAAAAAGTAGCGTTGGTTAAATCCCTCCAGCTCACGAGAGACAAAACGTCCAACTAAAACTTTTAGAGCATGCAGGACTCCCGTTCAAACACACACATAACCAAAGAAAACCAACTCACCTCCTCAAACTATAACTCTGTCTTGGTGAAATGTTCTGAGGGTGAATGCAGCAGGACGAGGGCGACAGCAGAGTGAATTTGATTTTTTTCTTTCTTTCTTTCTTCTTTTTCCTTTTTTAGGGTCCAAATCCCTCTAAAATAAAGAATGTGAACTCCTTCCTGGGACAGGCGGAGGGAGGGGTGAGCAGAAAGAAGGGAGAGGTGGGGGGGATGTGAAAAGCTCGGAGTTAAAAAGCGCCGCTTGAAGCTCTCAGCGCGTCTCTGAACTTGATCAGATTTTATGTGTCCTGCAGCGAGTCAGCGGCAGCCCTGTGAAACTTGCTCAATTGCACGAATCTTTTGGCTGCGCGCGCGCGCGGAAGAAGGGGGGAAATTCTCAGGATATTACAATTACTGCCATCTTTCTTTCTGTCTTTTATTTCTCTGTCTTACAGAGCCTTGCAAAAAAGGGAGAAGAAGAAAAAAATCTCTTTTAAGCGGGTTCAAGAAAGCCAGACTTTGGAACAGCGCCAGATACATTCAAGATTTTAGTTATAGTAAGAGAAAAATGTTAATTAAAAACTAAGATGATGATAGATATAGATAGATAGATAGATAGATAGATAGATAGATAGATAGATAGATAGATAGATAGATAGATAGATAGATAGATAGATAGATAGATAGATAGATAGATAGATAGATAGATAGATAGATAGATAGATAGATAGATAGATAGATAGATAGATAGATAGATAGATAGATAGATAGATAGATAGATATAGATAGATAGATAGATAGATAGATAGATAGATAGATAGATAGATAGATAGATAGATAGATAGATAGATAGATAGATAGATAGATAGATGATAGATAGATAGATAGATAGATAGATAGATAGATAGATAGATGATAGATAGATAGACAGACAGACAGACAGACAGACAGACAGACAGACAGATAGATAGACAGATAGATAGACAGATAGATAGATAGATAGATAGATAGATAGATAGATAGATAGATAGATAGATAGATAGATAGATAGATAGATAGATAGATAGATAGATAGATAGATAGATAGATAGATAGATAGATAGATAGATAGATAGATAGATAGATAGATAGATAGATGATAGATTGATGATAGATGATAGATAGATAGATAGATAGATAGATAGATAGATAGATAGATAGATAGATAGATAGATAGATAGATAGATAGATAGATAGATAGATAGATAGATAGATAGATAGATAGATAGATAGATAGATAGATAGATAGATGATAGATTGATGATAGATGATAGATAGATAGATAGATAGATAGATAGATAGATAGATAGATAGATAGATAGATAGATAGATAGATAGATAGATAGATAGATAGATAGATAGATAGATAGATAGATAGATAGATAGATAGATAGATAGATAGATAGATAGATAGATAGATAGATATAGATGATAGAAGTTTTCTAAAGTTTAAACTCCCCTCTTGTATCACCTCTGTTGTTCTTTATTAAACTGTTTGAGAGTTTCTGAGGACGCGCGCTCCGCATACATGTGGCAGCGCTGCACTGTTCCGTTATACCTGTAAAATAATGCCCGCTAGAACCAATCAAATGAGACCAGTGAGAAAACCTGCCATCTTCAATCCCAGACCGTGCCAATCACTAGAACTCCAGCCAATTAACACCCTCCTAGGCGGTCACGTGTCAGAGGGGTAGCTGAGCGCTGATTGGGCGCCATAGCACTACCTCCTGAGTTCATTTATGTTCTGGGAGAGTGATTGACTTTATCAGTCCAAGGACATCATCAGCCTGGTAAGGGGGGGAAGTTTGATCCTCTTTCTCACGGATCGCAGTCCACGGGAGTTTTTTTCTCCTCCCAACTCCTTACATAGGATTTTCCCTCCTGTTTTCGGCTTGGGTTTTTTATTTTAGGAATCCCTCTCCACGCAGAGTGGTGAATCTCAGCGCAGCGCCTGCAGCCCGCGCGCTCCGCTAAACTGGATTTAAATTGTATTTTTCCCGACTCCTAAGTTTGCTTCGAGCTCATGACTATGCTTCTTGATAGCGGTCCGCAGTTTGCATCGTTAGGAGTGGGGGGGTTCGGGACGCCACGGCACCACGACATCGGGAACAGAGACCCGAGTCTGGGACTGAATCCTTTCTCTGATTCCTCCCACTCCGCCGCGTTTAAAATAAGCCCCGTGGCGCACGACATCGCTTCCAGCCAGACGTCAGCGTTCACTCCGCAAGCAAGTGGATATGCTGCTGCCCTGGGACACTCTCACGGCGGGCAGGTGGGCTCGTACGGTGGAGGAGCGTTCAACACAACACGAGACTTTCTCTTCCGAAACCGGGGCGTCGGAGAGTCCACTGCACCGAGCGCCCAGCATGGGATCTTTGCAGCCTCGACAGGGAGCCTGCACGGGCCGCCGGGGATCCCCGACAACCCCGGACATTTGTTGTTTCCTGGACTTCACGACCAGGCAGTCAGCCACACTTCATCCAGCGGACACGTAGTCAACAGCCAAATGCATCTTGGTTTACGCGGGGACATTTTCGGAAGACCCGACCCGTATCGGCCAGTAGCGAGCCCCAGGACGGACCCATACGGGGCTCAGCTCCACAACTACAACCACCCCATCAACATGAACATGGGGATGAATGTGCCGACGCACCACGGTCCTGGGGCCTTCTTTAGGTACATGAGGCAGCCAATCAAACAAGAGTTATCCTGCAAATGGATAGAGGAGAACCAGATGAACAGACCCAAAAAGACGTGCGACAGGACTTTCAGCACCATGCACGAGATGGTCACGCATGTGTCTATGGAGCACGTCGGTGGCCCCGAGCAGAGCAACCACGTCTGCTTCTGGGAGGACTGTCCGAGAGAGGGCAAGTCTTTTAAGGCCAAGTACAAACTCGTCAATCACATCCGAGTGCACACGGGAGAAAAGCCGTTCCCGTGCCCGTTCCCCGGATGTGGGAAAATATTCGCCAGGTCTGAAAATCTCAAAATCCACAAAAGAACGCACACAGGTAGGACCCACAACACTAGTAGTAGTAGTAGTAGTAGGAGTGTGTGTGTGTGTGTGTGTGTGTGTGTGTGTGTGTGTGTGTGTGTGTGTGTGTGTGTGTGTGTGTGTGTGTGTGTGTGTGTGTGTGTGTGTGTGTGTGTGTGTGTGTGTGTGTGTGTGTGGAATCATAACTCTGATTTTGTTGTGCTCAACAAATTCGAACTTGGCTCCTTAACGTTTTCAGAAGCTTCTTATCAGTATAATAATAATAATTATTATTATTATTATTATTATTACTACTATTATTGTTGTTGTTGTTGTTGTGAGAAGACGGAGCTAATTTAGGCTAAGGAATAAACTAATTTGAATATCTTTGATGTGTTGTTAATCCTGGTTAATTCTTGAGGCTTTAGATACGAAAAAACTTTGGTCTGCTTATTGAGATTCTCAGCTCGCGTGTCCACGTTTTTGTGCTGCTATTGGACAGTTGAACCAGGCAGCTAATCAATGTCTAGCTGTGTTTCTAACTCGCTCAGACGTTGCATGCTGCCCTGTTGATTCATTGTTGACTAGAAGAACAGTAGCTGGAAGGAGTAGTGGCTCTGGATCCACGTCTCGCCGCAAAAACTAGGTTACGCTGTTATATAATCGTCTGCAGACCATTTACATGCCTTAGCTTGGGCTTTTCTAGTGCTCCTGCAAAGGGGGAGTTTGTTTGTTCGAGCCGTTTGGGTTATTCACCATGTGCGCGCGCGTGTGTGTTTAAATCCTGCAGGTGAGAAGCCGTTTAAGTGTGAATTTGATGGCTGCGACAGACGCTTCGCCAACAGCAGCGACAGGAAAAAGCACATGCATGTGCACACGTCAGACAAGCCATACATCTGCAAAGTGTGCGACAAGTCCTACACACACCCCAGTTCTCTCAGGAAACACATGAAGGTAATTAACGTCTTCATTACTCCTTAAACACATTAACACACGCACTCACTCACACACACTCACACACACACACTCATACCCCCTCCTCCTTATCCAGCACAGACACAACTTGAAGCATTTGTTATATCTTACAGCATTGGATTGCATAAAGTTTGCAAGTCTAAACAATTAGTTTAAATGTCGAAAGGATTTAGCTTTGATGCTGAATTTGTCTTTTTTTCATGTTTAAGGAAAATTCATTTTAAAAATCATAACGTTAATGAAGCATTTAACTTTAATTAAAAGGTTGGCCTAAAACGGGATTTAATTTCTAATTCTGATCAAACTTTATATTTAAAATACATTTTTAGGGAGATGAAGTCAACCGATGTGTGTACCACGTGTTTATTCTAATATTATTTAAATTTTATTGCAGGTACACGAGTCTCAAGGGTCTGAATCCTCCCCAGCAGCCAGTTCCGGGTACGAATCGTCCACACCGCCGGTGTTGGTCTCAGCCAGCACCGAGGACCCGACAAAAACACCGCCGTCAGCGGTGCAGAACACGTCTGGGCACAGCGAAGGACTGGCGCCCAACTTTAACGAATGGTACGTTTGAAGGCAGAGCAGCAACGCCTCTGTCACCGTGGACCGGAAGGACGAGGATAAACCAGGAGTAACTGAAATTCCTTCTCACTTTGCGCACACACACACACACACACACACACACACACACACACACACACACACACACACACACACACACACACACACACACACACACACACACACACACACACACGAGACTGAAAGAACAACGGCAGATGAGAGCAAACGCCAGCAGCACGCAGGCCACGTCCGTTCTCAGGATCACGAAAACACATTTTGACTTTTATTCTGCAGTTTTGAAGGAAAATCACACAAAAAACAAGCGAACCCAAGTATAAATAAACCTAATACTTTCTGACTATAAATACATGTTTTGCTTTCTTTTTAAACTTTTAGTTCACAGATTTCCAGAAAGGTTGTTTTATTTTGAATTTTATGTATTTTCTCACATTTTTATTTAAAGATAAAAAAACATAAAATGAAAAAAGGAAGCTTATTTCACGCTGTTTTCTACGACCGGTGACGCGTTTACGCCTTGCCTCTTCAATTGATTGTTGAAAACTTCTAACAGTCTTAAGAAACGTGCCAAAGTCTTTGTCATGAACTTGAACACAAAAAAAGACAAAAAAGAGAAATAAATATTATACTCGTGAATGTATTTCCTTGTTTGATGGGGTCGAATCTGTTGTCAGCGTCCGTTTTCAGGTGGAGACATGTGGTATTAGGTTACGATTGTTACCGTTTAATATAACGTTGCCTTTTGTTGATACCGTTGTAAATACATATACATATCCATGATGCCATATTTATCAATTTGTAATTTAATTATGGGTATAAGTTCTGAAACTTAAATGATATTTATGGATTTTTTTTCTAACAAGAACTGTACAGTTTTGGTCATAATAACCATCTTAACATGGAACAAATGATAAACTCTTAAGCTCCAACATGGCGATTGTATCTTTTTTTTCCTTTTCTCTTTTTAACCAATAGGCCTACATGTGTCTTATTTGGATCAAAAATAATATCATCTATATGAATATTATGGATTTGTCTATATATAATGCAGATATTTCAGTCACTTTTGGGGGGAATTTTCTTTCTGAGACCATTGACATGTATAAAAAATCACTGACTGTGTAGAACAGGTGAGCTGAGAAGGTTCTGTTGATTTTTTTTTTTGGGGGGGGGGGTTAATCTGAGCTTTCTTGTGGATCATACTTTTATAGAATCAGAAATAGATGTCAAATCATAGGATGAAGAAGAAGAAGGATAAAAAGATAAAATAATCCCATCAGTTTATTGCACTCCTATACAGGTTTTTAGAAGAGTGTGTGAAGTTTTTAATCTCCAACATGAGGATTTTCAGTATTTTAAATTGGGGGGGCGGGGGTAAAGCACCCAAAAAATAAGCGCCTGTATGGCAATCTTTCTAGTTCCAGCAATGTCTTTGTGCAAGTAGCCTCTGTTTAAATGTGTGCATCGGCAACAATGGAACTGTCACAAAACACAGTTATCTTCAAAATAATAATATTATTGATATAATAATAAAACAGTTTTGTCTGTCAGCTTGCATTGTTTTAAATGTAATTCTTCTGTGAAACTAAGCGTGTTATTTGTTGTGGTGTTGCATATAGAGCCGTTTGATTACACATTTGCTTGTTTTGTGTGGATAACTTGTCAAGATTTTATGATTTTTTTTATTATTATTATTTGTGTTTAACAAAAATTTAGTGGAAGGATTCCTAGATCTATGTGGGACTGAAAGGAGAATACGTTCAGTGGCAAAAAGAGTTACAGCATTGCATTGTAACCTATTCTCGAGATTTAAATATTATGCATACACAAAATATATTGTGCTCATTATTGAGAACAATTTCAGACCACCAGCACTACTTTTAAAACAAAATGTAAAAAAAGGTACCTCTTGACAGTGATATATGAAATACGTTTATTTAAATAATTTAAGGAGTATATGTTTTATATGCTATTTTCTATACCTTAATTTAAAAGAAGTACATTTTCTTATTCCCACCACCTTTCTGCCCCCCTTATGTCCAGAGGTCAGAGGAAATTCTGATGTATAAACACAGCTAGAATGTGATGTTGTAACCCTTTCTGTGTGTGTGTGTGTGGGGGGGGGGGGGGGGGGGGATGGGTCACACACTCCCGAGTTATTCCTGAAAAGCAAAAATGTATTACTGATGAACTGTGTCACTGTGCCACATCAAGGCAAACCACGTCACAACAGCAGGCCTATTATATGCGTTAGCCTATTTAGCTACCAGAGTCAGACGTTTCCTTGTACTTTTTAGGCTACTGTATGTTGGTTGGTTTGTTTTTAAC